CCACTGAGCCGGTATTTGACTTCAAGAGATATTTCCTGGAGTTCTAGAGAGAAGCAGTGACCAGTGGAGTTCAACCAGGTCTGTTGTGAGATATCAACTCACTGAAGACAATTGGTGATTGGTTGCTCAAACTTCGTGGATTGGTTGAAGTTAGACATTAACATTATCGGATGCTGGCTCAGTGGTCTAATGGTTAAACGTTCTGACGCGAGACTAGTAGGTCCTAGGTTCGAATCTCGCGGAGCGGGGCCGTGGATGCATATAAATGAGTGTTATATATGCTGTAAATTTAAATAAAAAGCCTCAATATATGTATCATAAAATTTAAAGTAACAGATTATCAACCATTGATATTGCAAACTTTTCTAATCCATTGAAAAGCTTATTCAAAACAAATAGTTTGTTATACATTCATTTGCTTATTAAAAGTCAACCTAATTAATCATGCGTTTCAGTGCTCAATTTCCACTGATCAATCAATAATGTAGCTCCTTTTTTAAAGTAAATGTAACTAACCAGTTTTAATATAGATTTATTTCCATATAAATTAGTTTCTCTTCAAGAGTATTATTGTTGTAAGTACATCCAACTTATGTTGCTAACTTCTACTGAAATATTTGAGTATTACCTTTAGAATAAAATAAACCAATAACAAATTCATTTTTAATAGAGACATAGACATTAAACCTAAGTCTAAAAACGTTTCCATTTAGATGAAACTGAATAATTAATTTTAAAAGTCAGCATCAGAATATTTTATAACCGCATGACTGATGGCCTACGTTTGTTGTAAAATGCTTTTAGATTAATTTTACTCAACACTCTGAATATCCTATTGTTCATTATATGATGAGACATTTTTACAAATGATAAATCAATAAAAATAATTAATTTTATATTAAGTTAACTCCGTCGGGAGCTCCTCTAGAATTACAGACGGTTCCAAGATCGGGTGAAGTAAGAGACTTTAGCGTAAGATCAGCAACCCCATCCTTTAAAAAACAACTCTGCTACCAAAACCTTGACCTAATATTAAGCTGCCTAAAGTAATAGCAGATTACAGATTTATCTGATTTACTGCTAATTTGAAAAAGATACATCCTATTTCAAAGCAACTCTAAATAGCTAGTACTAAATTGACATGAAATATCTATTCACAAAATTAATGTTGTACAAAATCCAATTTGTTCGGTAGGAAATACTTTATTGAGATCACGTACTATTGTGGAAAGTTTGTGGAAATCATCCAAGTAAGGTACAGTTTACATCATGACCTAATTTAAAATAGATAAGTATTGTGATCTAATCAGAAATGAATAAGCATGTCATTTAAGTTTGAGACTCCTCAGAAATTCATGCCAAGAACTGTGTTATTCGTTAACAAGGGGTCTTCAGATGTTCCGGCTAACTCCTCGACTTTAAACCACTGAGTTAGTACCTAATGGTCGATATTTTTGCCTTTAATAAACTCGTGATCTTATGCTACCGCCATTCAGTGACTTTTGTGATGTTCATCTTATTTTCAACATGGATAAATTCCAATAGCCACAGATTTTCATTGGAACTGTGGTAATTCTTTCAGAATTTGTCACTAGTGGACATTCCAAACCTAAAACAAAATAGTTGTGAGATGCTCTCTAGTTTTCATTGGTTGTCAGGTTGAAGTATTCCTTGATAGCAAAAATATTTCAGAGGTGGTTACTATAATGACTAAATAAGCCACAACACTCGTAGTTTAAATATACAAGTTTGTTTTGGCGTGTAAATTAGTCTTTATATTTGAATCTCATTCATTTTGTCATTTTGTCTCAACATATTAGTGAGAAGCACTTTCAAAAGAGTTGAATTATTCGTTTCCAGTCTCATTACATTTCTACTTCTAATCTTATGCTGCATTCATTTCTATTACTAGACTAACCACTTATATGGAGTACGTAACTTAGTGAGAGTATGCAAGGATATATAAACCACTGTTTTTGACACTCACCTTGTATAGTATTCAAAATCATGAATTTTACAGTTCTTCATAGTCTATATGTTCTGCTAATTAGTCAGAAACTCACCATGTATACGACACTTACACAGCATGATACATTGAATGTACTGAATTAACAGGGATTCAGAAAATTTCAAATGTGATTTGTTTATTTGATAGGAAGTGTTACATGGATATCGCTACATAAGCATGACACAATAAACTTATTAGATTCTTCAGACTAATAAAGCAAATAGGACATTGATAAGTTAAGGTATTTTAAACAAAAGTCTATAATCTCAATAAGTTTTGATAATCTCATATTTTATCTATTTTCATACCTATCAGATTTGTTTACAGTAATTTATATAATAAAGAAGTAAATTTGCACTAATATTGTTTATATTATGATGAATAATTAAGAAACATCTAGCTTCAATTGGCTCATGCTTTCAACTATGCAAATACTAAATCTCCACAAAAAATCCCTTCTAAGAAACATTAGTTAACTGAACTTTCAAATCAAGTGTAGTTGATGAAACGAGTTATGTGTCAGTTGTTCTATTCATCGTCAACATCTCACTCAACAGAAGCATATAAAGAATGTTTACATAAACAATATTTAACAGGAAATACATTTGTTTACATAGGTTTCTATACGTCCCTGTTAAAATCTCGTCAATTTTATGGTTTTGTAGACTATTTAAAAACAATGGGATGTTATTGTCTAAAAATCATTTTGAATTGTAAGTAGTAGAGCATAAATAATTCAGTCACTGAGAATTCAAACCTCAACTGCCAAAGTTTATAGGCATCTTTTGTTTACACCACTATACTAAAACTGACAACAGTTAGCATTCTGTCCAAATAGATAAGATACTTTTAATGAAACACCAGGTAAAATCTCTTTATTAATAGGAAATAGTAAAATCTTTGCGATATAAAGTTATTTATTCAAACATAGTGTCTTCAGCTGGGGATTAAAAAATCCAACACTAAATGCTAATAAAAATCATATTGTTTAAGTCTTATTTAAATACATAAATATTGGTACAAAAAGCACCAGATATATATCCGGAACATAAATCTCATTTCATTTGTGTGAGGGCTGTGATACTGCCCCATTGCCCAAACTGAAGCAAGTGGTTTTTTTAGACGGTCACACCCCGAGACTTTGACCTAAAGATCTGATCCACAAGGCAGTGGAGCATCGTGAGGAGATGCAGTCCCTTGATAGTCGGTGACCAACAATTGATTCATACTCCATTTGTTCCCAACTCCCCTAGGTGGACTTTCCGTGTCCACCGACGCGAATAAAGCGCCGGACATTCGCTTTCTCTCCTCTCACTTTCCTAAACAACACCCCTGGTATGAGAAGGCAGTGAGTAGAACTTCCCTGACAGAGGCTATCCACGCGTGACTATGTGAGAGCATTTCGATAGGGAGAGTGGACTCTCCCCACTCTCGGCCGTACCACGGCATTCGGGGGCGTTTAACTCTTAGTAATAACAATAAGACCTTGAATGCAATCATTGGACAAAAAATAACTTAATGTATTGATTCATTGTATTTGATTCTATATATAACAAATAGAATCTTCTTTTTTAACCAGAAAACTGTTACTCATTCCATAAATCATTTGTCAACTAACTGATTTCTATTGACTGAAGAATTTAATCAAAACCATATTATCATTGCATAATGGGATTAAAAGGTAAGAAATAAAATATTATAATTAGAAAGAATTTACCGTTTGTTCTTCAATTTGATAGACTAGTTAATATAAATTTACTTTGAATTCATATTAATCACAAACAATAAATCTTTGTTGTTTGTAATTAGTGTGTCCATTTTGGAAATACTGTATTCGAAAAATGTTGTATCGTAATCCACATAACTAACCGATATGCCAACATATACCAACAAGAGACTGATCAATTGCAGTCCTAAATAAAAATGGGAAGATACAAGTAAACCAAAACGAGTGAATATAACTTCACCCCATTGCACAAGCAGGTGGCTATCAGGACTCAGTAGCTAAGTCGATAATACGATGGGTTCGGGTCCCAGAGTGAAGATCAATTCTGAGATGCAGGTACATCCAGCTGACGAGTCCCAAATAAGACGAAACGCGCGTCCTGGATTCCACTGCTGGCTACTATCCATCTTTCCTCATAATGCTTGTGAATAAAGGCAATATCGAGGCGATACTCACAATATGCATATATGCCAGTAAGAGACTGACCAGTTGCAGTCAAAAATAACAATGGGAAGATACAAATAAACCACAACAAGTTAATATAACCGATAACAAGTGATACTGGCTTGTAGTTCCATATTTTCAATTTAGAATTTCCAGTAGAATAAATTATTAAAGAACAAATAACGTGATTAACATTTGAAAGTGAAAAAAATATTTTTTCTTCATGTCATTTTGTTAAAACAACTATCACTAGTTATCAATAAAATAAGATATTTGTAATATCCTAATGAGTAAAAAATGAGATTTTCTGACGTTTCGTGACTCAGTGTAAGCCATTTCTTCAGACAATAAATAACCAAATTAACATTAATCTAAGTTTAAATAGTACAACGGAACAACACGAATATTAGGTGCGATCGATCAAAAAAAAACAGGTCCAAATGAATCAATGTCATGTCGTTTCATTGCGGTCGAGGTGATTCATGAGCGACATGTATGTAAATTTGTGTGTATGTGTGCACTGTCAATGATAAAAAATGTGTGACTTTTATAATGACAAAGGATAGAGTTTAATTTGTAATGTAATAAGTAATAAAAAACACAAAATATGCTTATCATATCTTTGAAAACATTCCGTGAAAAACTTCAATTCAATATGGCTATCTAGAATTTCTGTTGTTAGAAATGAATTGTTTGTTTTACAGCTTATGAACAATATCACATTGAAATGAATTTGATCTTTAATATTATATTCAACTGAATGCAAGAAAATGTCGTATACAATTCTTTTCTGTGTATTTTGTAATTTACGTTTTATTTATTAGCTAGTACATCAAATGGAAGTTAATCACCGATCACCTATTAATGATATGATAGTGTTAAATATAAGAAAATCCTATGTAATCTAAATATCGTACCTGAAAACCAATTTGATATAGCATGAATACATTTCAATTCATACAGAAATATCTCATGAAAGTCATTACTATCTTAGCATTGTGCAATGTTTTTCACATCATTTCACCTACAAATCTCAGTTGGAAAATTAAAATTCCTAGATATAATCTCTACAAATGAACTGTTTTCTTAATGTGTTAATTATGAAATAATCCAAAATGTCAATAGTATTTGCATGTAGTTTTCAATTTTAATATGACAAATCAAAAGTTAAATTTAACAAAGAACGAAATAATAGAACAGACTCTTAATCCTACTTGATTACATTATTAAATAAATGGTCATATACATTCTTGGGAATTAAACGATCGAGACACTTCACTTGAACCAATAAACCAACGCGCTATTCCATAGTTTCAGTTATTTATGGGGAAGGCTTATGATTCAAGTTCAAAAACACTGAGCTATAATGGCACTGCAATCATAAACCGATCAATGTTAGTCCAACCTATACTGTTAATTGCACGATAAATTTGAAATGTGACGTTGAACTACTAACAATTTGTAAGTAGCTTATGATTTTTGCTAACTTTTATTATACGAACTACTTCTGGGTGATTGAAACTCAACATAACAGGCTGAATAATCTGTATGAGAATGAAGTGAATATACTGATACATACTTTGTTAACCAACTACAGTTCATGAATGATTGTAATGGATGTTTTCAGATAACATTAACGTAAACATACTTTCGCACAGTATATATACATATCGAGAGTGTGTGTGTGTATTTGATTTTAGACTACACACAACTAGTAATAATCAGTGATTCCGAGAAATTACTTGATATTCTTGTTCTGAAGCACTATTATTAACATGTCTATTCTTCGTGACATATGCAGCACGATTAGCTTATTCAAAATTTCGATATACTTCAGAATTATTAACTAAGTTATTTGTAATGATACATATCTAATTGAAATATTTTTATTGAATCTAGTGTTTTCAGCGCCTATAACCAAATGAGTAATATCATTTGAAGTGCTCAAATGAATTAAAATTTTAAAAAATCCAAAAAGTACAAACTTTATCATATTGATTTTGTTTCAATAAATACATAGTACAATCTTTTTTAAAAAAAAAAAGGAGAGAGACATTCATCAGTAATCAAAAAAATACTGAAAAAAAAATCATTGTTCTAAGAAAAAATTCAACATAGAAACAAACAACATTAAATCATAATATCTCTCATATACTAAAACAACATTAGAAAAGAATAATAGTAAAACAAAAGTCATATATAGAATAATAACAATATTGATGATTGAAAACGCATTGACCATTTAAAGACATACAATTTACTTGTATCATTGATAGATTTCTTTTAAGAAATTTTATGAAAATATTTATCTAAACTACCAGGAACCGATTTCATTGATTTTTGTTGTTTTTTTATTGATTTTGATTGTTGTAAATTCGATTTAATTTTAGTTGATTTTGAACAAGAAGATATTTGATTTGTTAGTGAATGATTTACTTGATTTAAATTAGTAGTATGATTAGATTTTGTTATTATTGTATTGGTTAATGTTGTTGTCTCTAATGTTGTTGCATTTATATTAATCTCATTATTTAACCATTCATGTTGTATACGTTGAGCTGCATGAAAATCTTCATGTTCTAGTAATTGCCATACAGATATACGTGAATTACATTTATCACAAATAATCCAATCACCAATAGAATATGATTTTAAAAAATTAGATGAATCTGAAGTTGTTGATGATGAATGACGTGATTCTGAGTCAACTTCTAAATAAGATGAATCGTCTAATGTGGACGATTTATTCTGTTCTAATGAGTTATGCAATTCTACACTGGTTGATGTCGTTGATGGTGGTGGTGTTATTATTGAATTGGAAATGAGTTTTCCATTTTGATTGATATTCTCATTTGTGTTATTATCATTATTATTATTGTTATTATTATTATTATTATTATTATTATTATTATTATTAGTAGTAGTAGTAGTAGTAGTAGTAGTAGTAGTAGTAGTATTACCATTGGGATTGTCAATCAATGTAGTTGGATGAAATGGAGCTGAGATTTCAGCGACTCGCAAACGTTTAAAAAATGAAAGATTATTCGTGTTAATATTTACAGTAGAATCATTAGAATTACGTTTTCTATCAGGTGAAATGTTGACTGTATCATCGTTAACATCATTATCAGAAGATAATTTAACTAACGATGATGATGTAGCCTTTTCATGTGGAATAGATCCCATTGATTCTTGCTGATCAACAGCATCACATTTTATAGATACTTTTTGCTTTTTTTGTAATAAACATCGAATATCAACATTTGAAGCAGATGAATTAGATAAGAATTTCCCAGCTGAAAGACCTAAACAATTTATACCAGGATCCCTAAACAGAAAAATAAATTTCATAATAAGGAACGTTAGTAAAAATTAACGACTACAATAAATTATGTCATAAAAAATATACTCTTCGTATAGTTGTCCAGAACATATAATCGATTTATGATGTGAATATTATAATATAAGATTACTATTTGCGATGAAATCCAGAATGCGCTCGTTCTCATCTATCTGCGACTTATCAACTTACTGTACCTATATCCTAGTGCTTTACACACTTGTAATCGAACTTAGTAACTAACCTTTCAAACTATAAAGGCTTATACACTGAGCAGATAGGTTACGATAACCACTAACTTATTCAACAGGTATGAAGGATACCGGTTAAAACAACTATTAATACTGATGTATGATTATGACATTACATCACATAGGCAATATTGACAAAACGTTTAAGGCTGGTAACTATATATATGAACTCTATCGTTTTATGTTTAAAAACCAGAACACTAAAGCAATGTGTTTTAAAACCTGTAGAAAGTGTCATTTGATCATTGAACTTCGAAGTAATTGTTAAAATCGCATGTCACGCAAATGATTCAAAAATCATTAAGAAGACCATATTTCAACCAAAAATAAGTCCTTCATTTTATTTTAGTCGTTTATTTCCTGCCTAGTTTAGCAGCTGGAGATAATGACAAAATACGAATCTCGATGATAAATATGAAAAAATTAATATCAGTACGTTTTGAAATCTATGATAATAACTTAAAAACATTAACCTATCATACATTATGTATATCTGTTCGCTTTAATACGAACGAGATAAAAGGTATTCCGCATTATTCATGCTCGTAATACATAACTTGAAAAACTTGGGTAACACAGTTGAATAAACTAACAATAACTGTAAATCAGTCAATCACAACGTAGAACTTCGTACGTACGTACATCAGTTCGAGTTGCCATACCAAATTAGCACAGAGATGAAGTTGTCGATTCAAATCCCATAGTGGTAGAAGTAGTAAGAGTATAAGCATCATGTGAAAGATTAGGGTTTGAAGATGTTATTGAGGGAGCATAATACAGTCAAATAAATTTGGAAAGAGATGAAGGATAGGGACATGAGGAATTCAGAGGATTAGAATTTGGGAGAACACAAAGAGTGGATGCACCTTCGCCATTGCAAACGATTTTGAGTCATGTCATTCAAGGTCTCTAACTATCCGTTATCATCTCGTGGATCCCAACCAGGTAGTCTACACCTACCAACATGGCTAAATCCACTTGTCAGTGACTTCATGGATTTTTGCCACGTTTTGGTTTGGCCGCCCCTAGCTTTCTTCAAACCTACTCCACCAACTGTAAAATAATTAATTGTACCAAGTAGCCAGTAAACACAGTACCAAATTGAATATTATTTTCAAGAAATCAAATGTATCAATGATTCATATTAGTCCAGCTGTGAAAGGAATCAATGTTATTCTTGTCTAAACATGATGACAGGACAAAGATTAATATTTTATACTGAGAAACTAATAGAAAAAACCTTTATGAAATAAAGGAACAATAATAAAAAATATTTCATTACATTGATTACTTCTATTTCATTGAAACACTCACAAACAATAAGGAATGCAGAAAGCGAATTAACTTAACAAAAACAGAAGTTTGACAGTAAAGAAAACTAGGACGCATAAATGAACAAGGAATCAAACCACAGCCTGGTACAAATTTACCATAATTCAACATGATCAAATTGATAAGAAGTCAACAACATGGAAATTAATCAATTAGTAATGAATGCTACGTATACAGAATGAATATACAGTTAAAAAATAACAGATAAAATAAAAAAAGGGATCATTTAGTGATACAAAATATTAATAGTTGGACGAGAATGAAGAGGGAAATTATCGAAACCATTATAACTGATTCATAGCTATTTGACCTAAGGTCTTCCTTTACTATGGATTACAATTATTTTGAGATCCCTATAGGGAAGCCTGAGTGCTCTAGAACGGTTCAAACTAATACTCAATAACTTCATAGACTTGTGCCGTCTTCATCTGGTATCTCGTAAACTTAACTTTCTCAGCTTATGCTAGTAATCCTAATATGTCATTGTCTATATCATTAGCATGATATTATGGGAGTGAAATCGTCACATATAGCTTTCACATTATTATTGTACACTACCTTAGTTATCAAAGAAGTATTATTGATGATTCTAAAGTGCTAATCTAATAAACAAACTACAGGAAACTGTTTACATGCATCCAAAACTGTTACGTAAAGTTATTAAAATATAGTAATAATGATGAAGTACATCGAAAACCTAATTCCAATTCATCACAAATTTTAGAGTGAAAATAGAACTCACCATATTTCCGGAGCTTCCCCTTTAAAAAGGACTTCCTTTAAAGTGGCCAAAGCAGTGTTTGCAAGTTTTTCAAGTTGACTCGTATACTTAAGTAATTTATTATCTAAATCACTAGTGTTACTGAAATTTCCTTCATCATTATTCATTATACTTCGATTTCCATAACCAATGAATTGTAAAAGATTAGATGGAAGTGTACGTGATATCCCACCAATGTATCCTGGATCATTGGTTGTACGTGCATAAAGAATTAATCGAGTAGGATAACGTTGATGTTGATGATAATCAACATCTAATCTTTCAAATATTTCTTCAGCTAAACATAATAACCATCGTTTAATTTGTTCACTTGATGTAAGTGTTGCACGTCCAAGGAAATTTTTACTACAACCAACAGACTTTGGAAGTGATCGAGTAGTAACCACTTCATGATCAATCCCATGAGATAAATCATGAAGCCACTTTCTACAAAATGAAAAATTCATATCATAAATGAAACTAAAATCAACCAATTGCTTAGTTATGAGCCGTGATGCGAGATTTTTTTCTAAATGTTTAATAAAGTATTATAAGCAGAGACGGATGGTGGCTAGCAGTGGAAACCAGGACGCGCGTTTTGTTCTACTTGAGACTCATCAGCTAGACGTAACAGTATCCTAGAGTTGATGTTCACTCCTGTACTGGAACTAAGTACAGTCGGTTTCAAACTCCATAATGTTATCCACTTAGCAACTGAATACAGATAGCCAGTGGCTTGTGTAATAGGGTGAAGTTTAATTTATTGGTTGTTTGAATCGTCCCACTGATATCTAGAGACTAATGAATTGCGGTTCAAAAACCACTTAGAAGATTCAAACAACCAATACAAATGAGTTTACTAAAGTAATCTTATAACTTCATCAAATAATATCTATTAAGCGGCAATATAGCAGCTAGGCAAGAAAACAAAATAGTGCAATTTAATGTGTTGCTTTTCCCAAACACTGACATTCACACTAGACATTTTAACCCACTTCATTACGGTTAATTTTGTCCCCCATTATTCTCATTATTTAACCTTTATCATTTATATTAATGACCGAAACGCCGTTGATTTTGGAACAATTTCCATGATTTACGTAGCATAGCATTTAGTGCCATTTAGGTAATGCTTCAATGTTATCACACAACTTATTATATGCCAGTAAATTATTTTTTATACAATTTTTTAAAGGATCCACCATTTTGTTGATTATGAAGCGCTAGTAACGTACTGGATAATTCAGGATTATAAATTTTTAAACTTAGTTATCTATATTCAATTCAGAAAGATTCAGGAGGAAGAACAAGTGGCGATGGACTGGAAAGAACGATACCACATCAACATACCACAGAAAGATCTCAGCAAGTATGAGGACTAAAGAGACGTCACACTACTGTCAGTACCAGGAAAAGCTTTCAACAGAGTGTTGCTGAACTGGATGAAAGACGCGGCAGACGCTCGACTTCGAGATCAACAGGTTGGATTCTGTAAGGATCGGTCGTGCACCCACCAAATTGCGACACTACGCATCATAGTTGAACAATCAGTTGAATGGAACTCTTCACTATACATCAACTTCCTTGAATATGAGAAGGCGTTTGACAGTGATGATAGAACATTATGGAAACTTCCTCGACACTATGGTGTACCTTAGAAGATGGTCAATATTATCCGGAACTCATACGACGGTCTACACTGCAAAGTTGTGTATGGAGGACAGCCGACAGATGCATCCCAAGTGAGGATCGGAATCAGACAAGACTATCTACTCTCCTCCTTTCTCTTTTTCCTAGTGATTTACTGGGTTATGAAAACCTCAACATCATGTGGTAAGTACAGAATAAAATAGACATGTCGGATGTAACTGGACGATTTGGACTTTGCAAATGACCTAGTTCTTCTATCCCATACACATCAACAAATGCACGTCAAAACAACCAGTGTATCAGCAGCCTCTGCATCACTAAGCCTCAACATGCACAAAGGAAAGAGCAAGATTCTCAAATACAACACCGAGAACGCCAAATCAATCACACTTGATGGAGAAACTCTGAAAGAAGTGGAAACACTCACGTACCTGGGAAGCATCATTGATGAACAAGGAGGATCTCATGCAGATGTAAAGGCGAGGATTGGCAAACTAAGGACCGCATTTCTACATTTGAAGAACATATGGAACTCAAAACAACTCTCAACTAATTTCAAAGTGAGAATCTTTAATACGAACGTCAAAACAGTTAGTACGTACTCAGGAGAGTATTAATATTTCTAAATTTTTGTCCACGCAAGATACTGAACTTCCGTTGACCGGATACTATGAGTAACAGCCTACTGTGGAAGAGAAAAAACCAGATTCCTTCTAGAGAGGAAATTAGGAAAAGACGTTTGAAGTGGGTAGGATATACATTTCGGAAATCATCAAACTTTATCATGGAGCAAGTGCTAACTTGAAATCCTGAAAGGAAACAGAAAACAGGGAGACCAAAGAACACATTACTTCGGGAAATAGAAGCAGACATGAAAATAATGAATAGCAACCGGAAACCTTTGGAAAGTATTGTCCAGGGCAGAGTTCGATAGAGAATAGTGGTGGGAAGCCTATGTTTCTCCACGGGGGGTGAAAGACGTAAGTAACTAGATGATTTTTGTTCTCCAACTTCTACCCGAAGTTTGGGCTGATGATGTCGTTCAGAAGGATGATGAAAGCTCCATGACCAAACCATCCAGCTCAGAGAACAATACTCCACCAAAAAGTATGCAAACCTTTAATGAAGTAGTCCAACAAAACTTACGATGTTTTTTCACCAAATTCTTTTGTGAGTACAGACAATGGAATTGAACTTAGCTGACCAAGTGTTTCAATCTTCAATTTTTTGACAACAGTACTTCCAAGTTTGCCACCTAAATTACGTCTTTAAAAAAAATCAAATATGATACCAATCAACTAATAGTTTTTTTTTAAAAAAAGTCACTACAGTATTACACAAGTGATTAAATTATATAATATCAGAGTAAATTAACTTGGAAACAGTTTTCGACTGAAAGTGGATACCAACTAAAAGAGTCTGAAACAAACTGTGATACCGAACAAGTGTTTTATTCAACTTTTGATTTCACTTAGTGAGTAACTTGGAATTAATTTAGTGATGATGATAAAAGTAATGTAATATAAATAAACCAACAACTTATATCATTAAAATATGTCATTAACATAATATTTTAATGGTAATGTGAGGAATCATGAATGCTTAAAACTGCGCAATTTGCCTAAAACACTGTTACATTATTTTGTTCAGTTGGATACATATATCAAATGAGAATACTAATACGGGATACTCATGTAAGATTTGATGAACACTAAGACATCAATAGTAATATGAGCAAAGGAAATTCCACAGAAACGAAATTTTAATTGACACTACTTTAACTATTTTAGCCAGAAAGTACTGTTATAGGAAACTCTTAGGCAGACTGATAAAAACAACCACCTAGCATTTCTCTATTAACTGATAAGAAATTCATGTCAACAAATAGTCCGTGAAGATACCGCAGCTCTATTTTTATACACATCATAGACAAAATAAACAGGTGGTTGTGTATGATCCCGATTTCAAATAAGCTGATAGCTATTCATCAAAAAAATGACAACTAAACACTAACAGCTCTAAGATCGAACCACTATATTTATAAATAAACTTATAGACTAGAATATCATGAAAATGGAGTACCAGTTCAGCAATTCAAACAGTGTTTAAACAATGGATGAGGTTAACCACGGCCCTTTCACTGTAAAATAAGAGTGTTGTATTCACCGCTTTCAGCTATTTCCCCGTTCATTTAGTAATTCATCGTTCGATATTTAAGAGTAATTTTCATCAAAGATTTCATTTGAAGCCCTGGTTTTCACTATATCTGTGCTTTTCATTCGGTATATTGGGCTAAGATATGATATAGTGAGCAAGGATTAAAATGACTGAAGTGAGAGTAACATATATAATCTTTTTTTCAACTGCCTGTGACACGTCCTGTACATAACTTAGTACGTTAGCTATATCTCCTGGTTTTATAATATCGTAGATTTATGCTCACATTGAGTTACTAGTTAATTGATGTTAAACACTACAAAATCATATAAAGATTGGAATGTTCAGATCATATTCAATTTATTTTTGATGTCAAATAAATCCTTATCTATCATCGTCTCTGTGTTTTTTATCATGTCTCCCAACTCATAGTTTTCCTGTTGAGGTAGCAGGATTTACCCAGATTCAACATGCCACACTTGTAGTTCAAAGTAATAGTTGCGAATATCTTTAAAAGCCTGAAAATTATACTTCGATATGCAGCACTCACCCACTAAGTGAACAAAAAAAATGACTAAAAGTGTTGGATATAGCACCTACTTTTATTTAACAGTGAAAACGTTATGGCTAATCTCAATCTAACTATTTGATCGAGAAATACGAAAAACGTTCCATCTATTTTGATTTTATCAATCAATCAGCATCACTAGTCCTCACATTAAGAGTATAACGACTTCTAACTGACAAAAGGAACTTCTACTTGATAACTGAATTAAACAATATTAACTAATTATTTCTTGTGTTTTATTGCAGAAGATAATATAATAATAAATAATTCACTCAAACTAATCATTAAACACACATCACTTACATTTTATTTATGTGAGTATTTTCCAATAAAATAGGAATTGATTCCTGCGGAATAATGGTTTGTTTATTTGGTTTATTTAGACTGCATGCCAATTTAGCAATCGACTTGACCGAACGTAAAAAAAGGAAGCAATAATAATAAAGGAATCTAAGTCTGACAGTTAATGAATAGATAGAACTCAAGTTGGAAGAAGGTATATTTACTCTCCCTCCCTCTTTTAGTGTGACTATACAAATCAAATTAATACAATGTTTCATTAAAATTATGAACTGACTACCACTTAAAACCTGAAAGCAGTACAATACTTAGTTAAATTCTACATTAATAACTTCAACCATGATTGCCGTTGTTGTATTTTCGCAAATCCAATATCAAAAAGTGTATACATTTATTGCATGAATACTACTAAATTTGTTTATTCCCATATCCTCAATGAAAATATTATATTTGTTAAATACACAACGACAAAATTCCACATTAAAACTGTAAATCTTAAATTTAGTAGTGGACAAACGTCTTGTTTAGGTGGTCTAGAAACAACCCAAAGATTTCATTTTATTTCTTCAAATATGGGACGGGAATACTGTCATTAAAGTGATCAGTTTCATTAAATCGATTGAAACATCTGTCACACTGCCAAGTTATTATACTGAGTACTAAATAACAGCATCACAGGTCGATGAAGATTCACTACCTCATCAACCGATTTACCACCTTTGCTAAGTACCCTATTCCTTATCACAACGTTGCCCACTCGATCATTTCAAGAAACGACGGAAATTCTGTGAAGATACCTATGTTCATAAACCTTCAGCCTATTGTGTCTCCTACTTTATTAGATCATCTCTCACAGCCAAAAAATATAACAGAGGAATGCTGCACAGTACACATGTCCCTTGGTTGGCAGAAGTGTTGCAAGCTGGCTAACGGCAAACGTGGTTTCTGAATCCGTGTCGAAAGTTTGTCAGACACCGACCCACCAGAGCAGATGAGATTTTCAAGATAAGTGAAGTAGTAAACATACCCAACTAGTCCACTCCCGATCGCTAGTTTAGATATTGACGCAGACCAGTCCTGAAGTAACATTTTTGTATTTGGCGGAAGAGAACCATATTTCTAAGCAATGAGATAGCAATAACGACCGCTTTGCTAAACAACCAGATTAAAAGATAATAATGGGGCTCGATAATTAAAAATCGGAATGTTAGTCACGCTGCAAAATGATCGGTAGAACACGATCAACAAAAAGAAATAGATAAGCACGAAATAGGTCGTTACCAAACGGTTGATTACAGTAAGTACCTAAGTAGCCCCCAAATGCCCTGGTACGGCCGAGAGTGGGGAGAGTCTACTCTCCCTCTCGAAATGCTCTCACATGGCCAGCGAATATATAGCCTCTGCCAGGGAAGTCCTACTCACTGCCTTCTCGTGGCGGGGGTGTTGTTTACGAAAGTGAGAGGACGAAAAGCAAATGTCCGGCGCTATAACCGGATTGGTGGACACGGAGGGTCCACCTAGGGGAGTTGGAAAACCCTGATTCCAAACCAATGGTGCACATGGGCTCCAGTATCCTGATGGAACGAATGGCGGAAGAACCTGTCATTGGTCAACGGCAACCATGGGACTGCATCTCCTCACGATGCTCCACTGCCTTGTAGATCAGACCTTTAGGTAAAAGGCTCGGGGTGTGGCCCCCTAAGAAAACCACCTGCTTCGGTTTGGGCACCCGGGCAGTATCACAGCCCACACACAAATGAATGAAATGATGAACTCTATTGACGATAATATCCCTGCTCATACTAAAAGCAAGACAATTAACATTATTATTATTATTACCTTTATTATTATTATTATTATTATTATTATTATTATTATTATTATTATTATTATTATTATTATTTACCATATCGCTAACTCACCCCCTTTTATCCCCAATTTGTGTAACCTTACTCTTCAACTTATGCAGCAGCTCGCCCATGGTGGAAAATCTGTCCTATCTAAACGATCTCCAGTCACTGTCTGGTTGAAAGTGAATGCTTCCACCGATTACGAATACTGAAGCAGTCTTTCTGAAACCACGTACGCCGTTCAAGCTGGCTTCCTTCAACGTTCGCACACTAATGCATATCAGACAACAGATAGGGCTGGCTATGTCTTTGGAAGGTCTTAATGTTGACGTTTGTCGTCTATCCGAGACCCGTATTCAATACTCTAGTGAAGTACTACAAATCCGCTCTCCATCTGTCGCCTCGAAGAGCTTGTTCCACGTGCGCTTATCCGGGGACCCTGTGGCATCTTCGTCTGGTCTTGCTGGCGTTGGTGTCGCACTAAGCGCTAGAGCTGAGGCAGCACTAATCGATTGGATCCCCATTAACAGTCGGTTATGTGCTGTTAGATTAGAAAGTTCCATCAAAGTGAGAAGAAATCGGCGTGAGAAACGGTGTCTTTTTGTCATCTCCGCCTATGCCCCGACAGATTGCAGCCCGGATACAATCAAGGATGAGTTTTACCACCAGTTAACAGTTCTTCTCCAGAAAGCGCGTTCGACAGATATTGTAGTACTAGCCGGAGACTTGAATGCACAGGTCGGGCGTCTAGGCACAGAAGAGAGTCGTCTAGGTGGCCGATGGGGACTTGTTGGTCGCCGGACAGATAACTGGGACCGTTTGCTGCAACTGTGCACAGACCACAACCTGTTTCTGGCCAGCACTAACTTCCAGCACAGTCATCGCCGGTGTGCCACCTGGCGTCCTCCCTCTGCATCCCAAGCCTGGACTCAGATTGATCACATCGCGATCAGCTACCGCTGGCGTGGTTGTGTACAAGACTGCCGCTCCTTTTGGAGTACCTATCTGGAGTCTGATCATGCCCTAGTCTGCGCCAATCTCACCTTACTTTTCAGTGGCCGAAGGATTGACCACCACCAACGGATTGATATTAGTAAACTGGCTGCAACTTCTGTTGCAAGTAAGTATCGAGCGGAGCTAGCCTCTAGGCTAGCTACCCCCCCCCCACCGAAAAGTATAGATGAGCATTGGTTGCTTCTTCACGACGCCATGAAAATGGCGAGTAAAGCCGCTTGCGGCTTCGTGAAACGTCCCGCTTACATGCACTGGGTTTCTTCTGGCTCCTTACAACTGATGGAAGCCCGTCGGTCTACTCCGGGTGACCGTGAGTTTGACCACAAACGAAGACTGTTACGTAATGAAATCGGGCAAAGCTTGCGTAAGGACCGGGAAGCCTGGTGGTCGGAGCGTGCTAATGAGATGGAAGCAGCAGCTGCATCGGGTAACTGCCGGAAGCTCTTCCAACTCATCCGAGCCACTGGCAGCAAGAAGTCTGGTGTGAGTGAAACAATCTACGAGGATGACGGGATGCCAATCACTAACATCTGTCGACGTCTTGAACGATGGGCGGAATTTTTCGAAGGGCAGTTCAACTGGCCTGCTGCTCCGGCAACATCAACCAGCTTGTCCTGCCCCCCATTGGCGATGACGACTGATCCACCAAACGAGGCGGAAGTCCTCAAGGAGCTCCAACTCTTGAAACGTTATAAATCACCTGGCCCAGATGACTTAACTCCGGCTCTTTTTAAAGATGGTGGTGACTTTCTGGATAAGGAACTGACTGCGTTGTTTGGAAAGGTTTGGGAGCAAGAAAGTGTTCCAACATCTTGGAATGAGTCAATAGTCGTCCCTATCTTTAAAAAGGGTTCACGTTGTTCCTGCAATAACTACCGGGGGATAAGTCTACTTTCGATTGCGTCCAAACTATTGGCTTCTATCATTCTTCGTAGGTTGTTTAAAACCCGAGAACGATTGACTCGCGAGGAGCAGGCTGGTTTTCGTTCTGGTCGAGGATGCATTGATCACATCTTCACCCTCCGCCAAATGTTAGAACACCGTCATACTTATCGCAGGCCAACAATCGTAGTGTTTCTTGATATCAGGGTGGCCTTCGATTCGTTGGACAGGACTGTTCTCTGGGATTGTCTATTGAAGAAGGGTGTGCCTGAGAACTTCATTAACATCTTAAAAGCCCTGTATACGAACACCTCAGGCAGAGTGAGGGCATACAACCACCTTTCTCCCTTGTTCCATTCGAGCAGTGGGGTTAGACAGGGTTGCCCGATCTCACCATTCCTCTTCAACTTTGCCATCGACGACATCCTGGAAACAGCTCTGATGGATGTAAGTAATGGCGGTGTGGATATGTTGCCTGGAGAACGACTTCTCGACCTTGAGTATGCGGATGATATTGTCTTACTGTGCGATAATGCCCAAGGCATGCAATCAGCACTTAATCAGTTGGCAATCAGTGTCCGCAGGTACGGCATGTGCTTTGCACCCTCCAAGTGCAAAGTACTCCTACAAGACTGGCAGGATTCTCATCCTGTACTCACCCTGGATGGTGAGGAGATCGAAGTAGTTGAGAAGTTCGTGTATCTAGGTAGCTATATAAGTGCTGGTGGTGGCGTGAGTGATGAGATTGATGCACGTATAATAAAAGCCAGAGCGGCTTATGCCCATCCGGGCCAGCTTTGGCGCCTTCGTGATGTTAGTCTGGCTGTAAAAGGTCGGATCTACAACGCGTCGGTGAGAGCAGTTTTGCTCTATGCTTTTGAAACCTGGCCTCTCCGAGTTGAGGATGTTAGACGTCTCTCTGTGTTCGATCATCGTTGTCTCCGAAGGATTGCTGACATCCAGTGGCAACACCATGTTAGTAATGCAGAGGTTCAGCATCGTGTGTTCGGGCGCAGAGATGATAATTCAATTGGTGACACCATCTTGAAACACCGACTTCGTTGGCTTGGACATGTTTTACGAATGTCGTCCCAGAGACTTCCACGTCGTGCATTATTTGCCGACTCTAGGACTGGTTGGAAAAAGCGGAGAAGAGGTCAGTGTATGACATGGTGTCGTGGCATGAAAGAGAGCTGCAAAGGGCTAGCTTCCGTTGGTCCTTCACGACTCCCTGGTTGGGGTCCGAGAGATAGTGCAACACAGTGGCTAGAGACGTTATCAGATATGGCTCAGAATAGAAGCCAGTGGCGATCCTGCTGCAACCTTCTTTTACTTTCTACATAAAGAATGGTTCTAACTTTCCTAACTGAAAGAGTCTTCTGGTTGTACATTTCAGCCCGCCTTATCTTTTCATCCCTTCTCTTCCTACTTTCATTATTTTGTGTGGCGCATATGTACCTGGTGCCCTTTTGTACCAATATATGTGTTTAAATAAATAAATAAATAAATAAATAAATCAGTAGATCGGCTGAGGTTTTCTAAAGGTTATAAACACGTCTTTCTGAAGTACCGACTAGTATCGAGGAGTTACCACTGACTGCTTCTAACTGCTTAAAATTATGATTATAATTAGGAATGCATAGTCAAGGTAGTGCTGTAATGAACGGAAACTCAGGTAGGGTAGGGAAAACCAATTGATCGTTTTATGCAAAATTGCATAGTGCCCTCGTAAAATAGGAAAATCATACATTAAATACATTTTTTGCACATCTTCCAGTTTTGTCGTTACTCTAATTGCTCTCTGTTTCCCTTCCTGTTCTCCTCGATTCGATCTTATGCTGGCAAGCATTCCATTTCCTATTGCTGCTACATGCTACTTATATCTGTCAGTATAAGTAGCATACATCACAGTGTTACTGAGTAACCAAGTACAAGGTTGACTTATAAACGGCGATTTGCCCTAATTGTGCAAACACCACTGAAAGTAAAGTAGATATGGCAGAGTTTGAACTGGCAGCTTAATGACTTGCAAAACAAATACAGTAGTTTACAATGAATTACGATGAAGGAGACTGCTTTGATTTCATCTTGATTTACATCATATTATTTTGAACAATAAAAAACTAAAAGATAGGAACAAAAATATCACTCAGTGGTTACTGTGAATTTTAAATGGTTTACTATCAACAATAAACGAAGTAGAACACATAAACAGCTTACTTTATTTGGACCAATCCCAGCGGAACATTTAAATCCTGTTTTTGTGAACACAGCCTGTCTAATGCGGTACACCAATTCAGAGGCTACAGCTAATCGCCTTCCTTCTGCAAAGTTAGAGTCCAGTAACTTGATCCAATCAACACCGCTGAGCGAAACACAGTTGGTTTCGGTGAGTTCTAACTTTGACTCCTCAGTAATATCGCTGTTAACTAACACGTAAGACTCTGGGTTGGGCTGCAATGATGACAAATTGTGATCCTGGATCAAAACTGAATCTACGATACCTATCAGGTTTATAAATGTCAAAATATCAGCTTACCAGTTAAGTCAACGTATGCTTCATCAATACTAGCCCTCTCAATATCGCTAGTAAATTCGGATATACACTGAATCACTTCAGAACTCGCATCCCGATATCTGCAGAAAACAATCGACCTCAAAATTGAGTTTAAGTCACTCACCTTGTAAGTTCTGCTTTACCTCGTTTCTCAGGAACTTTAAAAATTATTACTTCTGGATGCTGAACTCGAATTTCATCACTAAACATTCCACGCTTTATACCTAGAGCCCTGGCTTCGTAACTTACGGCTAAAGCTCTAAAGATAAAAAATCATCAAAATAATGATCCAACCCTCCACCTTTCCATTCACTATACTGTGAAACAACACACGGCTTCCCTTTAGTTTCGGGAAATTGACGTTGTTCAACTTGAACATAGAAACAGTCCATATCAAGTAACATCACAACTCTGTTCATCCTTAAATTTCATAAGTCCTCCCTAAAAAGAATTGTACTGATGAGCAAATGGAATATAGTGCAAAAATAAATGTATTGAATGAATCAACGTTACTGATAGTGACTAGTCATTTTACATTCCAGATAAAAACCTGAAGTAATTGCAACGTAACCTTCTTAGCTAACCCATAGGTACTGTCTACAACTTCACTGAAAATACAAATTTTAAAATGAAACTTTACAACAGCTACTACTGCATATACAATTTGGTTACACGAGCACAATATGGCACTCACCTTACTTATAAACGACTTTGGTTTCTGAATTTATCTGAATTACTGGTTAGACTTACTTTGACAATTAATGATACTACCCATAATTCATAGTCGAAGTAAACATGAAACGTTTTGAGACACATATAAGTGTTAGGGTGTGGAGCATTCACATCGCTGAATAACTGACTCATCAAAATTTGTACTGATTATTTATTTCAAGTAGTTCTATAGTTTGAATAAACATTAGTTTTGTCTGCACTTCTATTTCATTTACTTTTTCTTATCGATTCTAATTGAGTAACAGAGTAATCTGAATAGCCACTTGTTTATTTAGTAGTAGGATAGTAAGATTAACTATATTCAAATAATGACCAAATATAAATAGTGGTGAGTGATAAGATCGATTCACGTATAGTGAAAGCTGGGGCGGCTTATGCCCATCCGGGCCAGCTTTGGCGCCTTCATGACGTTACTCTGACGGTAAAAGGTCAGATCTACAATGCTTTAGTGAGAGCAGTATTGCTCTATGCTTGTGAAACGTGGCCTCTCCGAGTTGCGGATGTTAGACAATTCTCCGTATTTGATAATCGTTGTCTCCGAAGGATTGCTGATATCCAGTAGCAACACCATATTAGTAATGCAGAGGTTCAGCATCGTGTGTTCGGGCGCAGAGATGATAATTCAATTGGTGTCACTATTTTGAAACATAGACTTCGTTGGCTTGGACATGTTCTACGAATGTCGTACCAGAGAATTCCCCGTCGTGCATTATTTGCTAACACTGGAACTGGTTGGAAAGAGCGGAGAGGTGGTCAGTGTATGACATGGTGTCGTGGTATGAAAGAAAGCTGCAAAGGGCTCTCTTCTGTTGGTCCTTCCCGACTCCCTGGCTGGGGTCCGAGAGATGGTGAAACACAGTGCTAGAGACGTTATTATATATCACTCAGAATAGAAGCTAGAGTCAATCCTACTGTAACCTTCTTTTACTTTCTTCATAAAAAGTGATCATAACTTCCTTAACTGAGAGAGTTTTTCCGCTTGTACATTTCTGTTTCCCCCATTATTAATCCTATTATTACACTGACATACAGTAATTTGTGGTTTTTATTGTTCCTTTCTTTTTTTATATGCACCTTACTCCTTTTTCTCTTCCCATTCTCATTGTTTTGTGTAGCGCATATATATCTGGTGCCCTCTCGTACCAATATTTATGTTTAAATAAATAAATTCCAAGTGCTTGACCACTGAGTAGTGAGCAATAAGTCAGTCAGTCAGTCAGCTACAACGTAGGATCAGGCACACATATGCATCGGTCCAAGTTTTCATACCTCGTTAGCGCAACAAGATGAACACCGGATTCACAGTAGTTAATTTAGTTTTGGTGGTAGTATATAAATTATAGGTTGTATATAAGGATATAGTACAGGAAGAAAGATATGAAGCAATTTTAATCTCAAGGTTTAAGGGAAGATAAAGAGTGTATACACCTGCGTCATTGTAATAGATTTTGAGCCATGTCACCCAGGGTCTCCAACCATTGGTTACGATAGTCACGCGGACCCCAACCAAGTAGTCTGCATCTACCAACATGGCTCAGATTAGAAGTTAGTGACTTCAAACTCTGATGCCACGTTTTGGTTTGGCCGCCCCTAACTCTCTTCCGACCATCCCCAATACTAGTCAGCATAGCTCGTCGTGGTAATAAGTGTTCAGGCATGCGTAACACGTGGCCCACCCATCTCAGTCGATGAAGATTCACGACCTCATCAACTGATTCGCCATCATTCCCTAATACCCTGTGTTTAACCTCACTATTACTTACCCGGTGATCCCAGCAGATGCGAGCAATATTTCTAAGGCATCTGTGGTCAAATACTAGTAACTAAATAAACATGTTAAGCAGAGATGGATAGTGGCTAGCAGTGGAATCCAGGACGCGCGTTTCGTCCTATTTGGGACTCGTCAGCTGGATGTACCTGCATCTCAGAGTTGATGTCCTGGATTCCACTGCTAGCCACTATCCATCTCTGCTTACCATGCTTGTGAATTAAGGTATATCGAGGCAATACGCACAGTATGCACATATGCCAATTAGAGACTGACCAGTTGCAGTCCTAAACACATCGATAGGAAGATCCAAACAAACAATACTAAGTAAATAAACATGTTATTGTGAGCAATAACATGTCTGTTTAGTTCTTTATTGATGGTTGGATTTTATGGATCAGGATAAAATGTGGTCACTAGTCTGTGACTCAAAAACACGTGCACTATGTTACAATCTCAGGCGACAGGGAACCCTTGACCCAGATTTCGTGCTGGTTGCAAGTATGCCGTATTAATTAGTGCCAACTAGCAGGAAACCTGAGAAAAGGCTTTCCGGCAGGCTGCCCCAACCACTTAACATTGCAGCTGTTTTATAAGTAGGTGGGGAGACAGGGGGTAACATTCTTCCAAACAAAGAGCTAAAAACCTGGGTATTTAACTTAAATTTTTAATAAATTATAGCCACTGACATGTTCCAGTTCGAAAAGAAATCCAGTGCATATTAATGTAAAACGTTTTTAGACTGTCATCAGCCTTCTATAAAAATGACGGATTAACATTACCTCCCATAAGAACATCGAACTGTGAAAACATAGACCAATTAACTTAGTAAACGCATCCCGAAATTTTAAGTCTCACCGAGCACTAGTATGTACAATGTGATTTATGTAGACTGTATCACGCTTGTAGTTTAAAAAGGGCAGTGTGAGCAGAAAAATTAATTAACAAAAATTAAAAACGAAAAAGATCCAAAACAGGAATTCCACATTATGTTATATAATATATGTCATCTAAGGTTGAGTAAAATCGTTTACTAATATCAACAATCAAGTTTACTTTGGTTGTCGTAATCAGTTTTCCTGTAGGTACGTTCTTAATATCTAATATAAAATGTTCGAGTGGTTTTCACAACTCCATGATTATTGTACAGGCCATAAAAAATTCCGCTGTCCAGTATAAATAATGTTCATCTCAGTAGACTGGTAAAATATAAAAAAGCAAACATGATAACATACGAACTTAACCACTAATAACTTTTAAGTAGTGACTTTATTTAATAAACCGCTTGTTTTACTGCTTGTGGACAACTGGAGCGCAACAGATGATACTACTTTAGAATGATTAGATAGATTGGAATCAAGGTGTTAAGCACTAAAGATGCTGTCTTTGAAAACCCCCGAACGACGCAGCCAGAACAATGAGTAAAATAATGTAACGAATAGTTCAATTGGATTTAGGCTACACTTCATTTATCTACTACTCAGTGGTAGCCTGGTTTGAGAATCGACATTTGAACTTCAAACCCCACGAAAATAGAAAAAGATATGGCTAACCTAAGGCGAGGAACATAAACTGTTCCTGATCGGATATTTTCAAATTTCTTCAAGGACGCTTGTATAGGTTCAGCGGTAAGACTAAGATACTGGCTAGTCTGGGAGTTCGACATAACTGCAGCAGACTGACCGTGATCATCGTTCGCACTAGTTTGTACGAAATAACAGAAATTATTGTGATGATTACAGAAGTATCAGTTTAATATAGAGTCAAAAACAGCGAGACTATAATTTATGGATGGGCCAATCAGATATAAGATGATAGGTCTTAAATTTCAGCTAGAAATTCATTTATCTATTTGGCTAAATAGCGTTTTAGCATTCTAGCTTATGTCAGTTCACACTGGTTTATAACCGTTATTAATTCCTAATTGGTAAATGGACATTCTCAGGGTCATTTTGGTATCGCTCAAAGGTCGTCTCATCGTTCTAGACACAGAAGTGGACGCGTAGATCAGGTATGTACCTGTCTTTGTATTTTTGAATATATATATATATATATATATAATTTTCAACGCTAAGATATAGCTACCTATGTAACCTTGAAGCTGCATTCAACCTTGGTGATCTACAGGGTTTCAGAAACATGTTATTGGAAGAAAATTGCGAACTTCATTAACCTATCAACGGATTTTCGCCAAAAAAATCATAGCCGAGAGGACAAGTTAGCCCTAGACGTTCTTAGTTGAAAAGAGATCTGATATTAGCATCTCGCTTTGCAAAATATAATTCAGCAAAACCATCCTGTAGCTGATCTGCCTATCTACAAATTATAACTCCATCAATCTGAATCCTTATGCTGTCGTTATTTGAAAGCTACAAAACGACCCTGAAACTTTGACCGATACAAGCGAACAATTTATTGGGCTTTTGATCACAATACGAAAAAGGCGTAATTAGCCTCACAGTCCTTAAGATAAACAGCGACTATGGGTCTTCTCACACCTCTTTCCCTGGAACTCTGGGGTTTATTTCAGCAACGGTAAAAGAATCAGAGCTTCCTCATGTTTCTAGATGGATTCTTATTTTTTAAACATATGTTTACCATATGATCATGCTACGGTTTGAATACCGTGTTACAACAGGTTGCAGCGAAATAAATGTCAAAAATATTAACCTGGTATACTAAACATTTATAAAAACATTGAATGACACAAACTGATGAGATGAATTAAAAAGTATAACTGCATTAAAGACAACCAACTTAGTAAAAACGGATGGGAATTTGTAAAAGCTGACAAGGACGAAAATCAAAAATGCCAAAGCTCAATTTCCAATAACGTCAAAAAAAACCTTAACTTTGTTGTTCTCGTTTATATTACACAGCTACAGGTCTTATGTGATTACTAAAAAGCGCAGTCCGGTGATTCAATCGTATCGGTTCAAGTTTGACAGTTGTTTGTGGATTTGAGCATCTCATAATCTGGGGAATTGCACACTTTCAGAACAGTAATATTTTTCGATCCAGCATCTACCACAAAGGGTTGGATTTTGCAGTGTAAAGAACAAAATGAAAGAAAAAGTATATTCAGGAATAGCTAACAGTAGACAGCTTTTTAGATATGTAAACGAATCAATCCAAAACCTAAACAATGTGTAAGAAGCGCAGGTAAACAATGGTGATAACAAACTAAGTAGGAAATATCTGGTGGAATGTGGTCGCTTGAGTAGTGTTAGCATACTAGATGGGGACAAGCTGGAAAGTACTTGTACATTTCCTCAGTGGTCACCTTTCATAATGAATATTAAAAAAGAAAGAATTATTGATAAGCTAATGGTCTGCTTCACGATTCTCACTTACACATTCAAGAAGATGCACCATCACTTGAACCAGTTCATGGTGTGCAGTCACTTGATGTGGGTTGGTTTTCGTTGGCCTTGACGAAGATCAGTTTGCTGTTTGATATTCAGTGATCTAACTGCCGGAAGATTTAGCTAGGATACAGTGACATTAAACTGGCCCTACAATCCGATCCACAGACCAACTTTGTTGCTTCTTGAACACCTTTTTGTGTCTAATTCGGTCTGTTACCTCTGTTATGGCACAGTCTACAGACGAAAAATCTCAAACCATCTATTTGATAGAGAAGTCAGAGGTCAGGCTTGCCTCGAAATGCAGTTTACCGGTTTCTACAAAGTATGTCTTATGCACCTCAGCTTCTTCTCCCTAATTTCCGAATTTGGTTTGTTTTAGTATTTCCACTGATTGATGATTCCTTTGTGATGAACTGAACACTTATTACCAATTCCGAATACAATATGTTCGGTTGTGCTTATCCAATTTTACCTGCTATAAATCAAGCTATTCTGGTGTAGTGCCGTGCTTCGATAATAGTTCACTTCGATAACCGTTACTATACCAATCTTAACGGTGTATAAAATCAGAAGGCATAAGGAAGCGGCAACTACATTTTTATTGATAAATGATGCAGACCAGAAAATTGTAAGCACATGAGCAAATGTAAGCGAGCGAAGCAAAGCTGATGCATAGTGGAGATGGCTGGGAAACCAACTCGATATGAGCAAGCATTACTCAATATTTATAATCAGGCAAAAGTGAATGACAGACATATGATGAATAGGATACGAAGTGTGCACATATATGCTCATATAAAAGTATAGACAATGTTAATAAGGAAATGATTAACAAGATCAAAATATGACTCATAATGGATAGGCGAATTAGCTTGGCCAGCAACTAGAATAAAGTATATGGGCTTAACATATAAACTGATACTACACTGGGAGTCTCTAGTTAGGAAAGCAGTTCGAATAATTCTAATTATCATATTTATTCTCTGAAAAACAACTTTAGTGCCGATGGCTTCTGAGCAGTAGACCAAGAGTATCTTGAGTTTATAAATACCGATATGTTACATGCGGTGGAAGTAGTTTCTCAATTTGTAAACCCATACAACAGAACTATCTCACGAGTAGTGTTGGAAGTCCTGACAGTTCCCTTGTACATACTACAGATTTTTATCACGCTTGCATAAAAATCCTTCTGACAAGATTTACTTGTTTTCTGTCATGGTTAAGAGGCCAAGATAGCCTAGTAGTCATGAAGCATAATCATGAAATGGTGTAGTTCCAAAGCAAGTGGAATAATACTGTTCGTTTAACAACATAACCAAACACAAATTATAGTCTAACATCTGCCCTATTTCAGAAATCGGTATAAGGACTTTGTGATGGAAAGCTACAGGCTATCTTAGTCTGTATTTTCAAGCGTTTAGTCATTCGTTGAATGAGTTTATCTCGTGGAAAGATATGACTTATTTCAGAAACAGACTCCGGCGGTTGGTTCCACAATGGCAATTCTTGTACCCGTCACATGCAAAGACTGTACTTGACCTTCGACCTCTCCCGCTGTCTCTTCTAGTTTCACTGTGCGAAGATGGAGGGCAAAAAACAATGAATGATATTCCGATTCATTCATCAGTATCCTACACATCATGTCAGCTTGTCAAGAACAGTCTCTTGATTTACCTATAATCTGCATCTCCATATAACCTAGCACTTTCCTACAACCCTAACGCTCCTATGGCTGCGAAATAGATCCATTTAAACTAATTGTAATAAATGCAAGCTAATAGGAGCTAAAGCGACATAGTAACTGTTAGTGCTTTAGTAAAACGTTGAAATTTAAATAAAATAATGCTACTACATTATCTTTATCTTCAGTAATAAGACAAATGATTAGGATCCTTCCGTAACCAAACCAAATTTAAATATAAGTACATGAAACATACGGCAAGTAGAAGATATGGAGAACCGTTCAAATAGTTGCAGGAACGTCAATGTTTGACCTCCCCCTGTGCTCGTAATGGTGAAACTCACTAAAAACAAGCCAAACAAAAAAGATTAACTTCGACAGTGGTGCTGTCATGTTTTGGTCATTAAGAGGAAAATACCCTACACTTAAAGAGCGTGAAAAATACCTACAAAATAGGAATTTCATGGATCCAGCACCATCACTTCGTCATTCAAAGCAAATTCAGAATAGCTCCCAATAACAGGTACCAAGCCTTACGTATATAACAAAAAAAGAGGAAAATGGAAAAATGAACAGTTGGAAAAAGACTCGAGATGCAAAAACAGTAATATGCAGGGAAACACATAAGAGTAAAAAACACCAGCATTAAGAATGGATCTATGATAAATTGAAGTTTTTTCAAATGACCTGCCATTAAGAATCCTCGGAACAGTGCAACTTGCAGAGATTGGAATTAGATAAGCACAAGCGAAATTAAGTATTTGGAATTCGCAATAAGCGCGCAATCAATCAGCATAAATCCCACAACCTCTACAGCTCAAATAAGAATCCAGATTTCTGTAGTCTATTGTGAATCTTCTCCTTAGGTCGATTATGCGTCTGTCCTACTGCGTATCGGGCATAGAGCTTGTACGATATATTATAGGTATTTGAATTAACAACCGGGGTTGGAAGGGACGCAACTATTTCCTGGGATTGTGGTTAATCAATATATCGGGTTTGAGTGCCTGAATCACTGATGATGAAAATTCGGACCACAGATTTTTCAACATTTCCCACCACAACCCACGTGGCTTGTCGAAGATCATTCCCACGATAATACGTAACTTCAACAGACACTGAACACCTCAGATTCAAATGAAGAATCCTACCTCTCAGTAGATTTATTGGAGTCTCTTTCGTTACAGAATGTTCAACATTCCTATATTTCAGTGGAAATGTGTCTGCTCACCTCTTCAGTTTGTTAAACGTTAAAGCAGTAACAGAATTATGGCAATTTTCAATGTCCTGATAAAATTTTCTGCCTGACCATTTAAACAAAAGTCCCTAGGAGCAGTGAACTGACTAAAGCTTTTCTAAATGCTTGGATTGTGATGTCAGAATTTGGTGAATTTTTGAAAAAACTTCAGGCCACTTAGAAAAAGAATCGATGACGATAAGTGCATAGTGTTTGCCAAGAAATGAACCACAACAGTCCTCATGAGTTCTCTGCCAGGCCTCAGACGATACTGGCCATGAAAACCACTTCCAAGGCTGGCATTTTCTACAATTGTTTACAGTATGACGCATGTCTGCATTTATATTCGGCCACCAACATATGAGCCTTGCTAAAGACTCCATTTTCTAAATACCTAAATGTTCATTATGAAGAAGTTCAAGGACAGATTTACATAGTGAAGGTGAAATAGCAACACGATCATTTAGACACAAAATACCATCAGGAGTAGTGGAAAACTCATTCCGCTCTGAAAAGTGAATAGGAAATCTACGTTTCAGACTAGCATTCCAACCTTTTCGTATAGCTCAGGGTATACATCAAAAGCATTGACAAGTTGCTCAAATTAGATGTGTGCATCCCACCGGTAAAGGTTGCACTAACAAACAGTCTGCAGCATTAACACGTTTATCTTGTAATAACTATCAAGATTTGTAATCAACATGTTTATTTTTTTGGCACTTCTGCGTTGAATCGTATAGTTATAGTCACTCAAAGCACTACCCCATCGTTGAACCATATCAGCCGAGGAACGTGCTAAGGATATTTTCAGGATGGTAAATGAACTTTAGAGCTTCATGACCTGTAACAGCACAGAATTTCTTGCCAAACAACTATTTATGAGGTCTATTAACAACCCAAAACACAGCTAATACTTTTCACTGAGTTTGTGAATAACCTTGTTCAGCAACAGTAAGTTTGCTTGAAACACAGATTACTAGTCTACCTTCCTGTTCTGAAATAACGCCCATGCCCACTTGTGATACATCAGTGATAAGTGCATTATATGTACTTAAAGGGCAAGTTCGAAGAACAGGACCACTCTGGAAAAGCTCCAGTAGACTTCGTAGGCACTACTATTGTTCCTCACCCCAATAAAATGAGTCGGATGTCAATCGTTTAAATATAAATCTTAATAAACGTCAACACTTTTAGATCACTGATTGCATAACTATTCACCTCCTGAAATATGGCTGCTGAACTACTTAAACCAACTAAAAGGTAGTGGTATTTGAACAGGCCAAAAGGAGTATAAACCGTTGCCGAAGCGGATAAAGACTGACCCAAGGAAATTTGAAAATAAAAATCTTCTAAGTCAGACACCTGGATTACTAAAGAACCCTGAAACCAATTAAGTATATATTTGACTTTCACCATCGTGCACGTTTGCTTCGACGAAAGGGAGTTTGGTGTTAAACTGTGATCACATATCCTAGGGGTCTCTAGTGAGGGGCTCTATGTCAAGCCCACATAGGTTACTCTAGCTTCTGAAAAAATCAATTTAGCAACTCTTCGCAAACCGAATTTTGACCTTGTTGCTTATTAGCTTATCATGCTTCACTGTTTTTATGTAACGTATGTGTGTGCATTTCCTATCTTAT